GGTCTCTCTCTACTCAAAGGCCACCTCTTCAGAGAGGCATCAGCCCCCACCCCTGTCTGTAGTTCTCTTCCCTCCCTGATGCTGGCTGCAGTTCCTCTTGCCTCTCTCCATTCCAGCTCCAAGGTGTCAAGAGTCTCACCTGTCTCCTTTAGCAGGAGCGCTGAGCCTCAGAGAATACCTGACTGACTCACTAGAATCTGAATAAATACCTACTGGAGGAAAGAAAGGATGAAAGGATGATTGAAAATGAAAGAGCAAGCTGTTTAACAGTGAACTTCTTTTTAAAAATATTTTATTTATTATTTTTATTTTATGTGTATGCATTTATTGCCTGTATGTATGTACGTACACCTGTGTCATGTGATACCCACGGAGGACAGAAGAGGATGTCAGATCCCCTGCAACTGGAGTTACAGATGATTTTTAGCTGCCATGTGGGTGCTGGGATTTGAACCCAGGTCTTTTGTAAGAACAGCCAGTGAGTTTCTTAAAGATTGGAGGTAGGATGAAAGACATTGACTAAATTTTGAGGATACTGTTCCTTAAATTGTTTTTTTTTTAAATAAATCTAATAATTCCCTATTTATAAATTTTCTTAAATGAATTTTGCCTTCAGGAACATCTTAAGTAGTTCAGAGATCTTAAAGGAAAATGTTCACACTTAGCAACTCTGGGGTCCTAATCATAGTTACTGATGAAAAGATAGTTACTCTAGCTTAGTTGTAGAGAAATAAAGACAGATTTGTCTAGGATTTGAAACGGGGGCCTCTTGTACTCTGAGTGAGAATCATACCCATAGACCAACTAGCTTAGTTGTGGAACTTTAGATGCAGTACTTTACGAGTACAGCAGAATGCTAAGTACTGCTTCTGGTTCCCATCCATTTTTCTCCCATATCGATGAGCATGATGATGCCAAAGGGCCCCCAAACCTAGACCTGCCACTCAGTGTGTGGTTGAAAGAGGCTTGTGCCGTGAGGAGGCCTCTTTGGAGCTGACTTCTGAGCGTTAATTTCTTTCACCAGGGGATCCGTAAATGACTCCTTCCACCTGCTGCCATCCAGATTTGGATTTGGTTGCAGGGTTATTTCAGGTCCTGCTGGATGGATGTTAGAAGCGGTCTCAAGAAGAAATGAGGAGGCATTTTGCAACCCTCCTCTGCCAGCTTCTGTGGGAAGAAGTCACTCCATCCAAAGTCATACGGTGTCATTTTCCGCTTTTGAAAACTGATGAGTTAAGAAGCCTCACATGTAGGAGACACAGGCTTGCTATTATTTGGCCAGTCTGAGAGTTGTAAACTTGTGAAACTTAAAGCAAAATTCCACTCCCCCGTTGCCATTGACTGAAGAAACCGCAGTGCCATCTTCTGGCAATGTGGGGAAATGCAAGTGATGTGAGCACAGCCAAACCCAAGGATAAAATTACTCAAAATGTGTGATACTTTGAAAAAAATAAACGAAAACATGGCTAGTCGGCAATTTAGAGAGGAAACTGTGATTATATTTTTAATGACTAGGAGCAAGGAGGACTTGTTTTTGCTGAAATGGGAACTGGAAACCCTTGTTACGTTATTTGAACATTCCCATTTGGCCAGAAGAGGAAAAAACGGAAACAAACTTGAGTGTTTCAAGAACAGAACTGAGATGATTTTATCTTGATTTTATCCTGAGAGAGCAAGATACATTCAAAAGACTACAGGGCCACAATAGGTTGGCTGATGTAAGCCCAAGTTGGGGGATTGCTAAGTGGCCAAGGAGCAATGCCCCCCCCTCCACTTGTGACCACAGCTCCCTGTAAAACTGGGATTTAAGTCAAGAGATAGGTGAGATCATTTTAATCCAATAAGATTTATTATTTATTTCCCCATGAAAATGTTTCTTTCAATGTAAATAAAAATTTCTGCATAGCTCTAACTGTATTGTTTGGCTAATTTTGAGCTGGGGCTATATCATATATTTGGTCCTTAGTACTTTCCTAGTCCTTACGGAAAGTGTAAAAAGAGGCACATGGTGTCCTGTTTTATACTGGGCACTCAAATGTCTGACCATGGACAAGAGAAATAAGTGGACAAGTATATGTTACCATGACTTTGAGTTCAAAGGGAAACACAGAAAGACTTTTCTTTTTCACATTTTAAGAATCAAAAAGGATTCTCAAAGATTATTTCTCTTTGAAGGAGCTCCAAACTTCACCTTCAGCCAGCTAGCTGATTGCTTACTCTGCCATCTTAGTTTGCCCCACAATTCCCTTGTTGCCTTGAGCATGTGGTCCCTCTACCATCTCCTCCTCCTCCTCCTCCTCCTCCTCCTCCTCCTCCTCCTCCTCCTCCTCCTCCCCTTTCTTCTCCTCCTCCTCCCCTCTCCTCCCTTCCTCCTCGCCCAGCCTCCCTCTCCCTCAGGAGATAATCAGATAGTCAGACTTTTCTTTCTAAAAATATTTTATTTATCATTTCTATTTTGTGTATATGAGTATATTGCCTGCATGTAGGTAGGTACACCTGTGTTGTACAATGCCCTCAGAGGTCAGAAGAGAGCATTGGAGTCCCCTGGAACTGGAGTTACAGTTGCTAGCCACCATGTGGGTGCTGGGAATCAAACCCGGGCCTTCTGCAAGAGCAGCCAGTGCTCTTAACCACTGAACCATCTCTCCACCCCAGATAGTCAGACTTTTCATCACTGTGACAAAGACCTAAGAAAAAAACAACTAAAGGGAAAAAGGATTTATTTTGGCTCATGGTTTCAGAGGTCTCTTTTCCTGATTGGCTGGTTCCTTGCTTTGGGCCTGAAGTGAGGTTGGGTATCATAGTGTTGAGAACAGGTGGCATATGATAAGTACCATATTTACTTCATGGTGTCTGGGAAACAGAAAAGGCCTGAACTATCAGACTTCCTCTTTCTTCCCTTTACAGCCCAACCAGGCCTCAGCCAATATTCTGGGTTGGGTAAGTCTTTTCTCCTTAGTTAATTGTCCCTGGGAACACTCACAGATAGACCTAGAACCACTTTTCTGATCTCTTTGGAACCTCCCAATCCAATCAAGATGAACCATGCTCCACCCCATCATCTTATTATGCATCCTTATTTGTTTGCTTGTTTGAGACAAGGTCTCATGTATTCCAGGCTGGCTTTGAACTCTCTGTGTACCTGAGGCCTTCCTGCCTTCACCTCCCAAGGGCTGCAATTACACACATGTGCCACCACTCCTGTTTTTTTGCAGTATTAGGGATCAATCAAATCCAGGGCTTTGTGCATGCCAGGCAAGTGCTCTACCAACTCACCTATGCCCCCAGCCCTTGTATGATGCATCCTTGTTCATGTCTATCCCCCCTCCCTAATGCACGAATCATTTCTTCATACCTTCAGTCCTTCTCCCTCACTTGTGATATCACTCAATACATTTTAGCAAAAAGATGTGGAACTTGAAAAAGCCACCGCTTAAAGGCCTTTCAGGTAGATACATGTGAAGTTCTTTATTTTTTGCAGTGAATAGAGGAAGGAGAATAGTAGATCCATGCTATATTTTGGTTGATTTGATGATCAAGTATATTTCCTCACTCTGTGTGTGTGTGTGTGTGTGTGTGTGTGTGTGTGTGTGTGTTTTAGCAGTGTGGTAGAAAAGGAAATGAGTAGAATTTCAATCTAACTCTTCTCCTCTGTAATGGTTTCGCCAATGTGTAGTTTTTAGCACTTTCCTTAGTTTATAGTGGACATTTTTCAAGGTTTTGTGCCAGTCAAAGCAGTTCTCTCAGATGTGGCTTGTGATGATGCTTGCAGGGCCTGGGTACCATTCCGTCAGCTGGCATCACTGATGGTGCTTGCAGAGCCTGATACCCATCTATCAGCCAGCATCAGTGCCTGTACACTAGAGTAGGGCTTGTTCACCAGGAGTTTTGCACGAGAACAGCCCCTGTTCTTCCTCTGCACCTCAAATTCTTGATTCTCCATTCTTTTCAGTGTGTCTCTACCTGGTTTCACAACTGCTTTTCCAAGCATTCCGACAGTAGCTACAGTATTTAGCTGAACACTTCTTTGTCTTCCTTTTTGGCGGTGAACTTGGAGAGAAGATCAGGCTCTTTCTTTCTCCGTTTCCCTGTTGGCAAGCCTAAGGCACTGAACTTGCCCGCCAAACTTTAGACCCAACAAATGAGAGATTTTTTTGATTCAATCTCTTCTCTTCGAGACAGCCAATGTTAACATTCTATGCTTTTGCTGACTTCTTGCTTTGAGTTGGTATTGTCTACCTGTTTCCTAGAGGGATGCTTCACTGACTGGTTTTAGGCTGTTTTATGTTCCATGTTACCTATATCATCTGTTACATGCTAATCACCAGGTTCAAGGTGGGATGTGAGGCAGACATTGATTGATCAACTTGGATCCATATCTAAAAATATTGAGTAATTTTTCATGACTTAAAAAGGTGGAGCAGATTTCTGCTTGACTTCGAGCTTTATAATATCTGGCAAGACCGATATTGCCCTTTCCAGTTGGCACTCACTAACTGCAAATCTCCTTAATGGCAACCTCTGCTTGGTCATCAGATCTCCTGTTCCCAGCATCCCTCACCTCCCTACTCTACCCCAATCTTTTCCTCAGCTTCTCACTTGCTGGCCCCAGCAGCCTTTGTGGTATGGAGTTGATATTTTCGTCATTGTTATTTTTTTTTTCTTTTCTACCTTCCCCATACACTTTCCAATATTAGGAGCTTAACTGGTAGTTAATAGTACATAGACACAAAAGATACTTGCAACAGTCTTCTAGTGAAGCCTGTCTTCTTTTAATATAAGTTCTTCTCTAAACTGAGTCAATAATACATGTTGACAAATGACATCCGTTTCCTAGGAAGTCAGTAGAAAAGTAAGAAAGGCTGGTGGTAAAATCCCATAAAGATTTGTGTGCTTTGTTAAGTACTATTGGTGCAAGACCCAATTGGTTAGGTGGATTTTAGCGAAGAGTCCATGAAAGCAAGGCCACCTGATAATCTGGTTTTTGTCTTCTGTTCTAGGCAACCTCTCCATAAATCAAACTCAGAAGACGGCTGTGTAGGTCAGTACTGCTATCTTTGATTTAACTATTTAATCATTTTCATTTTATACTTCGTAGAAGACAATAGACATGAAAATCCATCTACTCAGAAATAAACACAGTAAAGATTGTGTGTGTGTATGTGTGCACATGTGGAGGCCAGAGGTCGACCTCAGTCACTCTCCCCCTTATATGTGGAGAGAGGATCTCTCACTGAACCCAGAGTTCACCAATTCAGCTAGTCTGATTGGTCAGCAAGCTCCAGAAACCCTCCTGTCTCTGCCTCCCCAGCACTGGAGTTATAGACATATACCACTGTGCTGACTTTTTGTTGTAGCTGCTGGGGATCTGAGCTTAGGTCCCTATGTCTGAAGTACAGGCACTTTACTGGCTGAGCATCTCTCCAGCTCTGCTGCTAAGAGTTTCATGAACAACTTTTTTCTATTTTTCATTATAAAGAACTTAAAAAAAAAAAAAAACCAGTGTAAAGCTGGGTGTGGTAGAGCACGCCTTTAATCCCAGCACTAGGGAGACAAGCAAATCTCAGTGAGATCAAGGCCAGGCTAGTCTGCATAGCAAGTTCCAGGTTAACTGTGGATACAGGGAGACTCTGTCTCAAAAAAAAAAGTTATTACATTCTACATACTATTTTATAATTCTTAAAATTCTGTTATATTTTCCAACCTGAGGGATAGTCTTGACAGTTAAGAGGTTGTTTCTGCATTATATTGGATATGCCCTAATCTCATTAACCAGTCTATGTGCTAGACAGTTGTTACTGATTTTTTTTTCTATGCTACAAACATATTCCATAAAAATCCTGATAATACCCTCAGGATAAACCCTTCAACTTGGAATCTTTGTATCAAGGAATATGCATTGAAGTTATTATATGTTTTATATATCCTTGATTATAAAATCCACTCTTGATAGAGAAAAGGACAGAATGTGGGTGGGTAATAAACCCTTGAGTCAGGCTGCTAGGATTGGAATCATGACTGCCAACTCAGCTGTTGTGACCCCTAGTAAGTCATTTACATGGCCAAGCCTCAGTTTTCTTATCTTGTAAAGGAGAATGAGAATAGACCCTATAAGTGGCACCAGGCGTGGAAAATGATTATAATCTTGGCACTTGAGCACTCAGGCATGAGCCAGCTTAAGTTGTATGGCAAGACCTTGCTTGTCTCCCTTAAGAAAGAAGAAAGAGGACTGGAGAGATGGCTCAGCAGTTAAGAGCACTGGCTGCTCTTGCAGAGGACCCAGGTTTAGTTCCCAGCACCCACATGGCAGCTAACGACCATCCATAACTCCAATTCTGGGAGATCTGATGCCCTCTTCTGTTCTCTGTGGGCATTGCACGACATGGATGCAGTCACGTACATGCAGGCATAACACTCATACACAGAAAATGAAAATAAATAAACATTTTTTTAAAGAAGAGAATGAGGAAGGGGAAGTTTGTATGTAAAATTTAAATGAGATAGGCTATTAAATAGCAAACTACTTATAAGTGCCAAAGAGATGATAGCTATTTTTATTAGCTCCATTTCAGAAACAAAATGAGAGTAGGGAAATACAATTTATAGATGAAAAAGTCCATTATATCCTCAAACTCTCTGAGAAAAGGCCAAATAAATGACAATCTGTTTTAACCCTTCATGGCTGACATTTGCTTTCAAGTTTAGCCCACAGGCAGCAGACCCCATGGAACTGGTCTTCATGATTGGAGTACCTAGAAAGTCCCAGGCCGAAGAGCTCTGGGATCCATTCCCAGTGCTCCAAGGGCTGTCAGCACTGAAATGAGGGCATCCTGTTTTGAAAAATGACACCCTTGCTAGCTTGGGGGCACCAGAGATGGGGTTCCCGCATGGCTGCTCCATGCATCATTGCTTGGCACCACCAGTCTAGACTATAGAAGCCACCACTTTGCTGGGCCCTGTTTCCAGTGGCCACAGGGCAACCAGACAGGCACCGGAAGGAGACAGAGTTGCCGCTCTGAATGTGCCACATCAGCAGGGTGAGCGTCGCCACTGCTGCCTTTCTTTTTAAAGAATAAAGAGCTGCTCTTCCCACTCATCAAGTCTTCTTCTTTTTGTTTGCCTTTTCTTTATTTTGGTGTGTGTGTGTGTGTGTGTGTGTGTGTGTGTGTGTGTGCACATGCGCAGTTACATGTGTCGGGGTTGGAGGTAGGAGGACAACCTTGGCTGTTATCCCTTAGGCACCATCCTCCTCATGGTCTTGAAACTAACTAATTGGCTTGGTTGGTCAGTGAGCTGCAAGGAACCACCCATCTCTATCTCTCCAGCCCTGGGATTCCAAGTGTGTGCCACCTTGCCAAGTTTCCTCCTCCACCCCCCAACTCTCCCTCCATACCCCAGGGGTTCTGGGAGATTGAACTCAAATTCCATTTCTTACAAGACAAACACTTTACCAACAAAACTATAACCCCAGCCCCTCTGTTTACACTTTAAAAAGTGTTGCATGTTATCGATTATTAGAACTTTATCAGATTTTTTAAAATATCTATTAATTACAAGGAATTTGTTTTCTGGTGATTCACCCAAGCATAGTCCGAGATGGACAGGAAGTTAGAGGGAGACTGAGTTAGGAGAGGTCATGCCAGGATTGGCACCCGTTTTTCTTGTCTTTGTGACCTAGCTATTCTGCATGTATCACCAAAACACCAGAGAAGTGTGAGCCATGCCACACCAGGGCTGTACACCCATGCTGCCAAACACACAGTAAACCAGAACCAGAACTGGTCAGCCTATGTTGGCCAGTGGGCACCAGGGCTTACTGGCTATTCACCAATCAATCTGGAAGAAGAAATAAACCAAGGGTGGGTACACTGAGGAAGAAGGAAGAAAATAAATTTAACCTCTGAAAATATTCTGTTTGTGGCACAGTGGAAATCACTGCGGCTGAGACCACAAGGGGAGAGAATGTGCTGGAAGACAAGGCAGAGGTGTACTCACTAAGCAGGCATCAAAGTGAACACAAGAATGCAGGCTCGGCCTGCCCCTTCGTGTGCCTTTATTTCTTTTCTGTACCCTACTGCCCCATTTTGTGCTACTAGCAAATTTGCATTTCCTTTAAACAGCTTTATAGGCGTTTCATTCACAAAATGAAAAACTGTCTTTGTAAAATCGGAGTTTTCTTTTGAGCACTGACATCATAGGAAAAGTCTGCTCTTCTTATCAGTGGGTTCCCTGTTCGTGCTCTCTGCTTTTTCCTTCATTGCTTTTTTCCTTTTACTTTCTTTTCTCTTTTTTTTTTAAGGAAAAGGAGACTGGAAGAAGAAAAATAAGTATTTCTGGCAGAACTTGTTGGCCAGTGGGCACCAGGGCTTACTGGCTATTCACCAATCAATCTGGAAGAAGAAATAAACCAAGGGTGGGTACACTGAGGAAGAAGGAAGAAAATAAATTTAACCTCTGAAAATATTCTGTTTGTGGCACAGTGGAAATCACTGCGGCTGAGACCACAAGGGGAGAGAATGTGCTGGAAGACAAGGCAGAGGTGTACTCACTAAGCAGGCATCAAAGTGAACACAAGAATGCAGGCTCGGCCTGCCCCTTCGTGTGCCTTTATTTCTTTTCTGTACCCTACTGCCCCATTTTGTGCTACTAGCAAATTTGCATTTCCTTTAAACAGCTTTATAGGCGTTTCATTCACAAAATGAAAAACTGTCTTTGTAAAATCGGAGTTTTCTTTTGAGCACTGACATCATAGGAAAAGTCTGCTCTTCTTATCAGTGGGTTCCCTGTTCGTGCTCTCTGCTTTTTCCTTCATTGCTTTTTTCCTTTTACTTTCTTTTCTCTTTTTTTTTAAGGAAAAGGAGACTGGAAGAAGAAAAATAAGTATTTCTGGCAGAACTTCCGAAAGAATCAGAAAGGAGTAATGAGGCAGACTTCAAGAGGTACAGTGGCTCGGCCAGCAGACAGTCGGTCCCCTTAGCCTCATAGTGTTCAGAGGGCTCTGCCCTAATCTACATGGATGCTGCTGGTCAGAATAATGCATTGCTTCTGCCTGCAAAACGGTCAACTTTTCCAACATTCCTTTCATTGCTTTAAGATTCTGACCCCATCATTTTCTTGAACTCAAAGAAAACAAAACTGGAAGGGAGTCAGCCGTCCTCTCATTTCATAGACCCGACTGCCAGAGACCAGGCCTTTCCTTTCCCTTCACGTCACCCTCCCAACTTTCCTCTTAAACCTGCCAAGCTCTGACCTCAAAAGGTCAAGAGAATCTTCGAGTTTGTTAGTTTTGGACCCTCCTGTTCACACCCCCTGCTTGGAGCCTCTGCCTTCTTCTGAACTTTTGATGCCGCTCTGTGGCAGGGACAGTTGTGGAGCTGTCGCCCCTGGAAACCCTCTGGCGGTCTGACATGAGAATTTACCCCAGCTGCTTTGTGAAGGAGTTCTGCCCCTCTCTAAGCCTTGCCTTTTGTTTTTGTTTAGATAGCAAGTAAATGCATTGTCCCCTGCAGGCTGGGCTGTATAATTCACAGAGGAAACCAGGACAGATCTTCCCCATTGCAATCTGGTGGAATGAGGTTATCAATAAATGAAGAATTTTTTACTGTCCGCTATGGACACTGCTTGTTTTCCTTTATAAAATAATACGACCTCTCCTGCTCCGGCTTTCCCACTTGCCCCCACCCAGACAAGAAGAACTTGGCAGTGAATCCCAGCTTCCCCAGCCACACACCTGACTTCCCAGGCAGCTCTCATGTGGCTGTTTTTCTCGGTTTTCATACTTTAAAGGAGTTATTCTTAAACACTCCCAGATTTCCCCTTTGATACAGACCCAAGATCATCTGTGCTTCCAAATAAACTTTGGATTCTGACAAGCTTTGGAGCCCTGCTTAGAAACCTGAGGAGAAAGAAAGCAGTGAAGAGAGGAAGCCAGGGCTGGAGAAATGGCTCAGCAGTTAAGGGAACTTGTTCTTCTAGAGGACTCAAGTTTGGTTCCCAGCACCCACATAGGGCAGCTCACAACCTCCTGTAATTCCAGTTCCAGTATCCAACACTCTTTTTTGGTCTCTGCAGACACCCATACACATGGCGTTCACTTCCATAGACACAGACACACACAGACACACACAGACACACACACACACACACACACACATACACACACGTAATAAAAAATAAACCTTAAAAAAAGGAATGAACCACTGAGCCATCTCTTGTTCTTGCAGAAGACCTGGGTTCGAATCCCAGCACCCACATGGCAGCTAACAACTGTCTGTAACTCCAGTCCCAGGGGATCCAACAGCTTCTTCTGACCTCCGTGGGCATTGCATGACATGGGTGCACTTACCTACATTCAGGCAATACATGAATACACATAAAATAAAAATAATAAATAAAATTTTTAAAAAAGGAATGAAAAGAATTGTTTCCATCTTTGAAAAAGAAAAGAGGTAGTCAGCAGTTTGCCAGCTCACATGGCTTTGGGAAACACCCAGCCAGCTCCCCATCACCCCACACAGATAGTAAAATGAATCAAACCAGTAGGCTTCTCTCCATATCCAGCACATCTTGTCATTCTTCTACAAGTGGATGAGTGTCAGGGGGCTTGAGGGGCTTTTGGATTTCATTACAAAATGAAAATGAGATACAGAAACATGGGGAACAGAAATTCTGTGGCCCTCCTGCCGTGGCTTCCTGTGAGTGCAGCTAGGCTCCTTAGTCTCATCCCTACGCACCAAGGGCACATGAAACCATGCCGAGGTCCTGATGGCACCAGAGGCTATTGAAATATGTGCTAGTATGGTCGTCTTTGTGTTAGCCTAATGTCCTAATGTCCTTTCATAGTGCTGACCAAAGACACAACTGGCCGATGGCACGTACATAAAAGGGATTTTGCTTTGTGGGGAAAAACTTTCAAAGGAACCTAATGGAGGATTCTTTTCCTTTATAGTTCTGAAGGCTTTCAGGTGTTTCCCAAACCCTTGTGAACTGGCGAAACCCACGTGAGCTCAGAGTTAGATGTCGACTTTCCCCCGCAGTCTGTAGACATATTTGACAATATGTTCAGATGCAAATGGCTGTAGTACCTTTCTTCCAGTCAGGCTAATTTGCTTCACGTGTGATTGTATTTATCAGCATTTACCCTGTGAGAAACGAGCCAGTTAGCTCAGTAGAGAAAGAGGGTTGACTCGGCCTATGCAGGATTGACTCTGTGACCTCACCTCCTTCTGCCATAATAGAGAATTCTTTCATATGCCATGAAAATATGTGTTCTTCTCATTCGTATTTCAAATGGTAAACTAAAGAGACTGTCTAACCCAAAGGTGCCTTGGAATGCTTTTCTGATCAAGTTGTATGTTTAAATGAGACTTCTGCCCTACTCATAACAAAGGCATTCCCTGTCAACTTTCTTCCATTTCTAGATACTCTATCACAAAGGTTCTGGTCATTTTGAAGGCTTTGCTTGAGTTTGTTCTCAGAACATACTTCCCTAATAGATGTGCTTATTGGCTTCCAGAGAAGCAGCACTGTTCTGTTTCTTGTCCCTTCTGTAACATACAAGGTAGACAGTGCTCTGAGGAATGTCCTTTCCCTGCCCAAGATGAGGGGCTTCCAGGCGGGGGCCTGCTGCATCTCCCATGTTCATTCTTGTTGCTCTCTGTCCTCAATCTCCAGGAGAAGATGTGGGCTATGTGGCAAGTGAGATAACAATGAGTGATGAGGAGCGAATTCAGCTGATGATGATGGTCAAAGAAAAGATGATCACCATTGAAGAAGCGCTTGCTAGGGTAAGAGTGTGAATGCTTAGTTTGCACTTGTGAACGCTTGACTACTTCACAATGAAAAATGTAGGGGGCATCAGAGAGCATAGGAATATAATAGCTAAAGGTTTATTTCTTTATTTGTGTGTTCGTGTGTGCGTGGTGTTTGGTATCAAACCCAGGGCCTTGTGCATGCTTGGTCACTGCTGTACCACTGAGCAGTATGCTTAACTCCTAAAGAAGTATTCTGTAGAACTTTTAGTGGTAATTAGGTACCCACATTATCAGACATTTGTTCCATTTTATTTGTTCAATACAAGCATTCCACCATGTATAGTGAAACATGTATTTGTGTCACAATACCTGACAATTTAAGAAATAAAGGGTTTATTGTGGCTCACAGTTCCAGGGTCCGGTCCATCACGGCAGTGGTGACGGGGAGTCACAGTGGCAGGAACTTGAGGAGGCGGGTCACATTGCATCCACCATCAGGAATGTGACAACAGTGACTGTGCTTAGCTCACTTTCTCCATTGTATTCATTCTGGGACTCTAAACTGTGGAATGGTGCCATGCACATTCAAGATGGGCCTTCCCTCCTCAGGCACACCTCTCTGGAAGCACCCTCACCAACAAGCCCAGAGATGTGTCTCAAGGTGATTTGATATCCAGTCAAGTTGATAATGAAGATTAGCCATGACAACACCAACATTCAATGATAGAATGGTAGATAGTTTTGATATGTGAGCCACTTTAATGAGGAAACTGACCCTCTCAATGTCATTACAAAATACATAAGCCTTTTGAAAAGATTAATAGGGAGCTGGGGAGATGGCTTAGTGGGTAACATACATGGTATATAAGCATAAGGACCTGAGTTCTGAACCTCAGCATCCATGTGAAAAAGTTAGACAAAATGGTATGTATCTGAAACTACAACACTGGAGGAGGGGCAGGGCCCCAGCCATCCCTGGAGCTCACTGGCCAGTCAGTCTAGCCAATCAGTGAGCTCCAGGGTTCAGTGAAAAACCCTGTTTCAGAAAATAAGGTGGAGAGTGATTGAGGAAGGAACCCAGTGTTTTCCTCTGAGATCCACATGTACACACATGAACACACACATACATGCATGAATACACATATATGTAATCAGTTATAAAGAAGATTAAGTATTAAATGTATAAAAACTGTAAACATCAATTCCCAGATAAACTTCAGATAGACCTTAAATTTGCTTCCTTTTATATATTAATGATAGTTTGTTGTCTTTTCTACCTTAAATTAGGCTCTAGGAGAAAGCAAATGTATCTTTAGAACACTGGAGTAGCATTTATAATTTATTAATATATTTTATGCTTTTTTATTGGCCAGTGAACTGAATCATTCTTCACCTGCACTTTGAACAATTGGTTCTGTACCATACAGAGAAATCATAAATAGTGTTGGGAACCTAGGGAAGTCTTCCAGCCACTAAGAAACCATCGAATGAGTCACAGCTTTATCTTTGGACTAGGAAATTTATAAAGAACAGAAATTTTTTGGCTTTCAATTCTGGAGACTAGGAAGTTCAAGGTTAAGGTACTGGAAGGTTTGATATTAGGGATGGCCATGCTCTTCATCCAAGATGGTACCCTGCATGCCATACCCTCTGGAGAGGAGGAACACCAGACGTGACATGGAAGAAGGACCCAGGAGGAAATAGGAGGCCATGATCACCTTTTTATTAATCCTACTCCTAGGGACAAAGCTTTCATTTCCCAGTAACCTCCCAAACTCCTAGTCTCCCTCCTATCACTGCCACAGACAGTCACAGCCAAAGTTCAGCATGAAGGGAGAGACATTGAAACCAAAGTAATCCTAAATGGAATCTTAAAGGTCTGAAAACAGTGGCATGTACAGTCATTTTAGTTTATAATATTTGACTCTACCCTCAATGTCTCTAAAAAATGTTTGCTGCAGAGACAGTGTTGCAAGAAAAAACACTTAGGGGCTTGGGTGATAGCTCAATTGGTAAAGTGCTTGCCCTGCAAACATGAGGACCTGAGTTCGATTCCTCAGAGCCCACATTAAAAAAAAAAAAAAAAAAAAAAGCCTGGTGTGGTTGTATGAGCTCGTAATCCAGCACTGAGACAGAGACAGGATGATTCATTGGCCAGCCAGCCTCACCTACTTGGTAAGCTCCAGGCCAGTGAAAAACTTTGTTTCAAAAGGCAAGGTGGACAGTGCCTGAGGGACCACAGCCAAGGTTTTCCCCTGGCACATACTTGCACAAGAAAGAAGAAAGAAAGGAAGGAAGGAAGGAAGGAAGGAAGGAAGGAAGGAGGGAGGGAGGGAAGGAAGGAAGGAAGGAAGGAAGGAAGGAAGGAAGGAAGGAAGGAAGGAAGGAAGGAAGAAAGAAGCGAGAGAGGGAGGGAGAGAGCGAGGGAAGGAGTTAAAAAGAGAGGAAGGGAGGGAAGGTGGGAGGAGAAAGAAAGGAAGATATTTTACTTTTTTTCTTTCTGTTGATGTGATAAGATTCCCTGAGAAAAGCAACTTAAGGCAGAAAGGATTTATTTCACAGTTCTAGAGGATAGTCCATCCTGGTGGGGAAGTCAGGGCCATAGGAACTTGAAACATCTGGTCACATTGCATTCACAGTCAGGAAACAGAGGTGTGCATGCATGCATTGACTGGTGTTCAACTCACTCTCTCTACTTTATACAGTCCAGGATTTCATGCCCAGAAAAATGTGGGTCCCACCCATGATTAAGATGGCTCTTCCCACATTATTAAAACTAAATCAAGATAATCCTCTACAGGCATGCCCAGAGACCCAATTCCTAGGCAATTCTACATCCTGTCAAATTGACAGCACTGACCATCACAGAAGGAAGAAAAGTCACTTAGGCAAGAGAAGTGAGGGATTGAATTTAGATGGAGACCTGAACCACCTTGACCAGCTGGCCTCTCTTTATCTCTAGATTTGGAGGGTTATGGTAGTAACTTTGGCCTCCATATTCTCCAGTAGACCGAAGTTGATAATAGTGTATGGACAGTGTGGCTAGGCATTAACTGCACATAAGCATGTTGGTGCCTGGGTAGATGGTGGAGCAGATGATGGATCGCAACCTCCTGTCCACGCTGTGGATTGCCTGCATCATCATTATTAGCCCAATCTGTTGCCCATGCCATTGAGTATCAAAGTCCCCGTTTCTTCTCCAGTTGCATTCCTTGTACATGCTGTAGCATTTGGGAAAAGTCCAGTTGAATTTCTGGGTGATGCCTATGAGAAAGATGCATATGGGCCTGTGTGTAGTTTTCCCACGGTAAGCAGGAGGTTTACTGGCCTCCTGGTAAGTGGTGTGGCTGTACTGTGAAAACTTGTCACCCACATGCAGCTGTCTGCCGCCATCTGCACCAGTGTTTGGGATGGAGCAGCATGTGATGCGTCTTGCTCAGTTTCTTTGGAGCCAGGGAAAATGTTAAAAAGTACTTTAATATAGTTTAGTATAGATGGTCAGAAAAGAAATGAAGGAATACTTTCAAACTTAAGGAGGAAGTGGAAAAAAAAATGAGCTCCTAATTTTAGCAGTTGGACACTCCATGGATAGGATGTCAGAAGATGCCAAATGAGATGCTGGCCCAGTGGCCTGGTGTGACATTTCAGAAGGTCCCTGCAGCCTGGCTACCGCTGACTGGGTGGCCTCTGCCCAGTTGCAGGTGCAGCTACAGAACTCACTGGGGCATCAAGAATATTGTATATTAAGCGATACAGAAATGCAGACAGCCAGAGAGAAAACGATGGTGGCATGATGTTGCTGTCTGCATGCCAGGGTGGGTACCCTTCAATAGATGGTGACGTGGCAGGGATGCTCCACTGCTCTGCCCAGAGCATTGTTCATCTTCTAGTACCAGTACCTGAGTGGGATTCTTCATAGCCAAAGACAAAACAAGAAAAACATATAGACCATAAAGGACCCTGTAGAGATGATCTGCTCCCTTTAATGTGTGACCAGTGGATGGACCTAAACATACTTGATCACTGTACACAAGAAATACCAAGACAAATCTCTTATAGTGACCATGATGAAAATGGCCCCATAGCCTCAGACTGTGATAGTGTAGACCCTTCCTCCATGTCAGCAGGTGGGTGTGCCTTCCTCTGTCAATCAAAGATTCAGAGACTCATGGGTAGAACTTATGAATTTGAATCCTGAGCCATAATTGGCAGCCATCAGGAAAGGAGCTTGCCAACATGCCATTTGGAGCTGGCTGTCATTACAAGGGAGACATTTTTGTCTGTGTTCAAATAAAAAATGTTGTCTGTGTTTGGTCCACCAAGTTTCATTTGTGTGAATTTAACCCTTTTGATGGCTATTCTCACTGTAAATCATAAAACCATGATTTACATCCCTAGAAACATTTTTTAACTTTGATTTATTTATTTACTTATTTGTGTATGTGTGAATATATGTATGTGGGGGATCAGAGGACAAGCCACAGGAGTCAGTTATCTCCTTCTACCATGTGAGTTCCAAGATCAAACAGCCTTGGAAGCAAGTTCCTTTACCTACTGAGCTATCTCTCCAGCCCCATTAAGAACACATTTATCCAGTACAAATGCAGATCAACATGAAAGGCCCCAAGATCTAATATGTGAACACTATTGTAGGCGGCAAAAAGCATTTGAAGACAGTAAAGTTTACAAAACTATTTAGTTCTGAATGTGGAACTTAGAAAGATAGCTTAATATATGATCTCTATATTTTATTAACTGAACAGTTCTAAGTGAATGGCACCTCAAACATTTTTTAAAGAGTTTTATAATGGGCACTTACCCTGTGCTTTAAGGAAGTCAATCTTTTTTTT